AGCTAGCATGACACACACACACAGGAGCAGGTATTACCCAAAGAAGGGCCCAGCCTGCCTCCAAGGGCCAGCTCCCCTGATCATGGGAGAGCGGCAGGCGGCACCGAGAAACATGTACGTCCCTGCTCTCTTCACCCCACACTGTGCCCACTCTGCCACCGCCCGACTGCTGTCCCCACAAAAAAATGAAGAAGGAAAAGGAAAAATGTAAAACCACATTTTCAAAAGGCACTCTCCACTGTCAGTAGCCAACGAGAATCCCGTTCCTGTTTCTTCCGTGCTCCCCAACACCAAGTTTGGAAGCAGAGTACATACATTCAGGGGGTGGGAGGACCGAACAGATAGAGTTTACATGTACCCGTGCAGGCCCCACCGGCTTCCCAAAGAGATGTGCTCATCCCACTGAAGGTTCTTTAAAGATACGGCTTATCTGGACAGAAACAAGAATTTGAACAATTTAGATTAAATTCGCAGGAGCCAGCCGCGCCTCCACGGCGCCACGCTATTTATAATAACGGCATTTTTTGCAATTTAGAAGCAGCAACAGAGAGAAACCATGGCAGCTACGGCAAGAGACAGACACGGGTCCGCCCAGCTTCACGTGAGGGGTTTTAGATCTTAGATCCTGGAGTTTCGCTGAATTTTTTTGTTGTTCTTAACCCTCAATGGAGAATATTTCCCCATTGATTTTTACAGAGAGTGGAAGGGAGGGGGAGAGACAGACAGAGAGAAACATCGATGTGAGAAAGACATCGATTGGTTGCCTCCCATACGAGCCCCAACCAGGATCTATGTGCCCTTGATCAGAATCGAACCTGAGACCCTTCAGTCCGCAGACCGACGTTCTATCCACTGACCCACACCGGCCAGGGTTCGCTTAACGTTTTTAAAAGAGTAGCAGCTGCCACCATTTCCTGAGCACCTACTATGCTCTGGCCGGTCTGTCTGGTGCCTTCTCTGCCCGTCCCTGTGTCACGGACGGAGGATGAGGCCTGGCAGCTTCGACCCTGCGTGGGGGACACGGTGACCCCGCCGTTCTCCAACCTTCGCCACTGGTCCGTACCGGAATGTCCTTTACTTTTTTTCAGTCACACTTTGTACAAAAGTGTATGTTCTTGAAAACGTCAACGTTGCCCTATTGGCGTGGCAGACAGAGACCGCGTCTCCTGCCACCGGCGATCCCTGGCGACCTCCCGTCTGCTCCAAACCAGGGGGCCCTTCACCCCAGGATGGTGCTCAGAGGCCCCGCCTCCTGGAGTCTGAGTCCCCGAGTCAGCCACGGGCCAGAAGGAGGCCTGTGTCCCAGTCCTGCTTCCTGCCCCACGCCCCCACCCCCT